CGCTTGCAGCAGTTTGTTTCTTTATAATTCGTTAATGCAGTTGTTTCTTCCGATGATGCCCCGAAAGTGCTCGGTCGTGGGGGGCCTTTTTGGGGCAGGTGCAAGCTCGAAGTCTCCGGTGTATCCAGTACGGCGAGACGGAAGTTGAGTTGAGCTGTGTGGAACAACTGGTGGAGACGTCCCAGGCTGGTGGCGTTGGTTAGCATCGCGCATGCGATGCTTCGCAGGGCGTAGATTTGTAAAGGATTTTATGGCCCACCAACCGGGGACGCTTCGTTTTGGGTGGTCCAAAAGGCATAACTCGAGCTGATGCGCGGTACGAGGCTTTTCTGACCACACCCAGACAAGCTCGGATGGAGTATTTGCATCAGATGAGCTCAAGTACTGAAAGCTAGGAGCTTGCTTTCGAAGCGAGCGGAATCAGTAGAACTGTAGAACCTAATCCATGTTCCCTAGACGTTTTGGTGCGAGGCCAGGGCCATTGGTGACGCGCTCCAACTATTGGGATCAGGCTTTCCTGTTGGTCGACCGCTGGCGATAGTGATGCAGGACAGTGGTACAGGCTTTACCAAGGGAAAAGCCTCACACATGCCTGTTTCAGTTTCAAGCAGGTATGGACGCTTGGTTTGGGGCTCGCACAAACTCAAGGGCAATGGCACTTGGACCAACCAGGGACCACCTCATTCAAAAGCCCGTCCTTGAACCCTTGCCATCGGCACCGGCGCAGGATCTGGAGAAGCAGCTTAGAGCCGATGGAAAGCCAGTGCCTCGACATCACCTCCATTCGTGGGAATTCTGACCCATCACATGGGACGAGTATTCTCGATTTTCACTTCTCAAAGGCCGAGGAAAGCAATGAAGGCTCTCCTTTACGAGCGCTTTGGCAGAATCCACCAACGATATCCCGAACCGTACCAAGTCGATCACAAAAAACGCGCACTCTCTACCACCACCTGGTTGAGGTGTCCCATGGTCCACCAGTGTCCATGGTCTTCCGGTTTTTCGAGACACGGGTTGCATTGACTTCAACCACCACGGCAATCGACTTCCAGAGACCCTCCCCACCGCCGCGGTGGAAAAGGGTCGAGACTGTCGTGTGCGAGACTGCGTGTGGAAATCCGATGAAATCCTTAGGTCTTATATAGGTGTTTACTGGCGGGGTTCTCTACAAAAAGCATGCTCAGGTGTGTTTTGGGGGTGATTCACTTCACTGGGAGGAGCCCACAGCACAGCTTGCTTAAGGGAGAATCCAGTTCAGGTTCCGGAAGGCTTGGCTGAGGTGTTAGGGTCGGGCACTATGATCCCAAACACTCCATGTATGACATTTATGCCTACATTGGTGTGGTTTTGGGGGTCCATGTAGGCAAATATGGCAGTCCCATGGAGTGTCTGGGGATGGCTAGTTGTTGGGGTCCTATTTGAGATGGGTCGGGGGAGCTCGGAAATTGACCCGGCACTCTCCCAGTCAGAAGTGGGCAGTCCCCTTGTAAGTAAATATTCTTCCAACAGGCCATTGTCCACTCTCATGATTGGGCAAATCACCCAAAGCTACGCCAAACCCTAGAACGTATCTCGACAAATCACGACTTGACTCTTGGGGGATGGGGTAGAAGTTCGAAGATAGAACTGAATCAACCTCAGCTTGAACCGCAGGTAATGTGCTCTTAATAGCAAACATGCGACTTGCCCGATGGAAGACTACATTCCTCTACAAACAGTCGGAAAAGACCCCTCCATGTTTCTTTGGAGTATGTCAACCCCTGCCCATTCCTCACAACACAAACCGACATCTTCTTGACATCCAACTTTCATGTGACCTCATCGTGTACACCGACCGTGTACACCGACCATACCGCGGCAGGCGGGAGAGCAGGGCTTGGACTCCCTGAGCCGGCGCGAGCCGTGTCCATTCTACGTGATGCCTCGCCGCTTCGAAGTGGCGGCCGCGGTGAATCGCTTGCGCACCGTCCAGCGCCCTGGCGGCCTGGGGTGGTTCTTGAAGGAAGAAACGAGGTCATAAGAGGTCACCTTTTCACAAGGGGAAGGAATGAACATGAATGAACTAAAAAGGTTTTATATCATGTTTCGATGTGTTTCTCCGTTTCTTTGGGAGGGTCTTAAGTGGCGTCACTAGTGAATACTAGTGACGTAACATGATGAAACACGCAATAATATATGTCACATTGTTTCACTAGCTGTAGGAGTGCAGTCAAAGATCCCTAAGTCTACATGACTTCTTTTGCTGAAGCATCAATTTCTTATATACATGTGAACCATTGGAAATCGTGAACATCGGCAGATTTCAGACCATGTGAGACACGTGTGCATTTTGGTTCGGCTTTGGCAGCCTTTGAGCAGCACATCCCTGGCATCACCCTGTCAGGCTGGGTTGATGTCGCAAGCGTATCTTCGTTTGGTCGCTTTTCTGGTTCGAAGAGTGCCTGCTTGGTCTCAGTGACCTGGATTTTGCCAACATTCACATCCAAGCATGACTTCAAATAATTGGCACCACTGAGGTTAATGATCGATGATGAGAATGGGGAGAGGACTGCGTGGTGAGGAATAGATGCTACCTGTAGCTTCTATTTGATCATATCTTTGTTTTGCTGAGCCAGACGCTATGCCTCGCATGAAAATGCGCTTGGAGGGATCCTGAGGTCACGCGTTCTTGCAATAGGGGTTCAAGCCCCGTGCCATGCAGTGCTTGATGTTGTATTCAGAGAGCACTTGGAAGCTCAGCTTCTCCTTCTGCATTGGCAGACATCACATGTCTCTCAGCCCAACTCAAATTCCATGGAAAGTAGTTGTAGTATCCACAATGCACCCATGCATGGCGCCAGTGACTGCCAGTGCATGCAGCTTGCAACAGTACTGATTCGATAGTAGTGATTCGATCCTGTCATGTTGAGAAGACTGTCCATCGGCTGAAGTAACCCTCTCAAAGCCTCACCAGGTGCCAGGTCCTCCAGTACGGCCGTTGGTTGTGACCATTTTTGGCACCTCAGCTTTTGAGAGCAGTGAGCACCTGCTTTCGCATCTGTTTTCAGAGCAAGGTGATCATCACCCTGCCATGCAAGATTGTGAGAGGCCGAGGGGCCCCAGTCCTTGTGAGGGGGACCGTGAAAACTGACATAGTTCTTCAGACGAAAAAAGAAGAGTTTGACCAAGCCCTTTGCTTTTGCCTGGAAGACGACCAGCCTAGAGTGCTGAGTGAGAAGCTTCAGAGATGAGCTGCAGGCCATTGAGCCAGAAATCACTCATTGTCTCAGGCTCTTTCGACAAGCTGTTCTTTCCCTAGGCTTCTTGGCATTTGAATGCCAGTCTCATTTTTGGGGACTCTGATCGGGCTGCCATGTTTTTGAGGTGTTTTAGGAGCGGACACGCCCTTGACTCCAAGTGGAGTGGAGCTTGACTGCCATCCGGACACGCATCAAAAACGCAGTCGGACACGCCAGTTCGATTGTTGCAGCTGTGGTTGTTCATGTCCAGCCACCTTCGTTGGACCTCCTGGACCCATTTTATTCAGTAGGCGCCCATGAAGTTCATCCTCCGCTCGCAGAACTTTCGGCAGTAGCAATGGAGCCTCAAGGAATACACTGGGGTGCCAAAAGTTGCGCTTCTTGACTTCTAAAACATCACAA